CCTACGTTCCTAACTGGGAAGCTGCCGTTTTGGCACAAGTGAGCAGCACTCCACTTTACTTAAAGGAACCAGCTATCTTGGGAAAGGCTTTGTTGTATTTCAAACGATTTTTGACTGTACCATTCAATATAGAGAGTAGCTTGTGATAACTCTGTGTCACTGCTAAAGTCTTCACTCTAATGCTGCATTTGTAAATGGAGAAGTTCAATTGCCATTTCAGCCCGTTTGAGACCTGAAACTTGGAATTTTAAAGCAGGTCCCTGGACTCCTTTAACTACCAGTAGTAGTTCTTGCCCTTTTGCTTTTGAAGATAGCCTCTAAGAAGGTCAATCCATTGCCTTTTTCGAAAGAGCTCATGCAGACAGGAACATACGGCAATTTCTGTTCACCTTTTCTGTATTGAAGGTATGTATCCAAGGAAATGATGGACTATAGCTTGGAGACTATACAGTTGGACTATAGCTTGGAGACTTCTCCATCTAATCTGCCTGTAGATTGTCAAATTACTGCATGTAGAGTTGTGCAATAATAAGGGCAATGACTAAACATCATCTGACAGAAAGGAAAGACAAGGAAAGACGGAGGGAGAGCCCTTTGTCATGGTAATAGCTCGGTATGCATTAATGAAATCTCAAAGGAGTGGGCCTTTCTAGCTGGCTAAAGGCTGCTGCAGTAGCAAGAATTAATAGCTCCTGAAAGCAGATGAATTCTGTGGAACAGCAAATACCTCTCCACACACCCTTGCGGGCTGTGTCACCTTCTTAAAGGGTGAAGGGCTACTCCCCAGTGTATATTGCTTCGGGTCATTAGGCTACATTGTGTTTGCTTGTCATTATGCAGTAGCATTTTTGGGGTAGATGAGAGTAGGTCAGCGCTTCAGATCCAGCTTACGTACAGAATAGGACGATGTGAAGCAGCCTGCTTGTGGGAGTTAAGTGCTGTCTCTTGGATAACACTGAACATGATTCACGAGGGATGAGATTTTAACTCTTGGGTGGTGCACATCACGGAAATACATTTCAAAGCTATTTGAATTTTTTGGCTAGAATTACAGTTGTTGCAGCTTCTGTGAAGACAAGGGCAGTCGCTCTTGACACCGCTTTGGAACACTTAGGAGGCTGGGAATAGAGTCAGCATTCCAGGTGATGGCAGGCAAATCTACTCCTCTGACAAACCCTGTGATGCAGACATGACTAGATTATATTGTTGTTACACCTCAGATGGACTCCTTAGTAGAGCTCTGTCAAATAATTTATCTTACACAAGGAAAAAGAAGTCTGTGTGCAGGACACCCAGCTTTGTCAGAGTGCTCTGGGAAGTGCTCTTCATCCATGCATTTGCTACTAGTCTTTGGAGAGCAAGTAGATGATAGGGTTTTGGTACTTCGCACTTGATTAAGGATCTTCACTGTAGATGAGCGTAAATGCCAACAGAAGGCACAGCTGGAAGAACTAGGAGCTAATATTAGGCGCTAATGATACATAGGAGTGGAAACGTGTGTTGCTGTCAGGCGCTGGAGCATTAAGCCTGGAGTATCAGTGGGAGTATAACTGCAAGTCAGTGAAGGAGGCCGTAGCCGCAAGAGGAGAGGACAGTTCTTTGGGAGAACAGCAGAGCAGGCTGGACAATATGTGCGAGAAGAAGCATAAGGTGGATGAGTGAAAGAAGTAAATCACACTAGGGTGGGCCCTGGAGTCAGATGGGTAGCTGCTCTTAGTTTCAGTGGATGCAGGCTCAAGCTTCGATTAAAGAGTGAAAGGAGACAGTGCACAGTTCTTTCTGTCTCTGCCCATCCACAAGGTGCACTCTGTCTCAGCCCATACCTGTAGGTAAAAATACTCAAATATTTCCTGCTAATCGTCTGCATTCACAGTTTCTAGCATTACTCCAGAGAGGCCAATAGAGGAGGTGGTACATCCAGAATGATCGTCTTCCTTTGCTCTGTAGCGTTCAGAGAGCCTAGGGTAGCACTTAGTTCAAAACAGTTTGTAAATTTGTTCAAGCTTTTATGAAGATGGTGTAAGAGAAAGCAAGGAAGCTTGCAAATACGGCCTTTGGATTCAAAGCTGCAAAGAACGTCAGTATCAAGAACTATGTAGTCCAGCAGTTTTCCCTGAAGCGTTGAACCTTTCGCAGAGTACGGATTACAGCTCTTATAGACCTTTTTAACTCTGAGGAGCTACCCCCTACTTTGGATTTCACATCTTCTCCTATCAGAACTTCCTTGTGTGGGCCACCGTTTTGGCCAGAAAGACCAGTTTATTTACAGCGCTATTAGGTGATGCGAGGAGATGCATTAAATAATCCAGTGGACAGAGAGCTGCTAACACAGGTAATGCAAAGACAGGCATTTTGGCACAATGGTGAGGAGGAGTGAGTATTACCATGGTAGACTTAATGAATCCTTGTTTTTTGGTTTTGGTTTCTGCCTCTAGCTGTGTTTTTATTCCGTGTTGCGTAAGCATATCTTGTTCATCTGTAAATAAAATGAGTATGTAATAAAAGTGAAAAATGAGTTTACAGAAAACACATTTTAGTGCAAGCCTAAATGACTTCCCTGAATGTCTATTTTTAGCTGTGTAGGTGTGCTCCTTTCCTTTCCTAACCCAAAGGCACCTCTCTCATTCTTTTTTATGCAAATTAGACCTGTCACACCATTAAATCATTTTTTATTGACTATTGAGTCTGCAAAGAAATGGACTGAACTTTAATATACTACATTACCATACCCTAAAATACAATTTGTAGATCTTATTTAGATTCTGTGTTGCTGCAGTGCCTCTAAATAGTTGTTATTACTGAAGAAGATTTACAGGCACCGTTGAAAGAAAGAATAAATACTCTCCCTTTTGAATGCATTGAATCACAGGCTGTACGTGATTTCACATCTGAAGCCCCTTGCTCCTGATTCTATCCTGAAATGAAACAATTCACATTATGCTGTTAGTTGCTAATAGAGCTTTTAATATGGCAATATCCAGAACTTCTCTTGACTTCAAATAGTACCAGGATTTCGCCCCTTCTTTTATGCTGCTGTGTTTATGCTAACTTTGCAAATGAAGTGTTCTTCGTCAGGCTGTGAATCGTCACTTTGCACATTCCCATCCTCTTTATTACCACATGCACAGCATCAGCTGCCATGCAGCACTTGGCAGGAAAATGCTCTGCTCTTGGGAAGTGCAAGTAAAATACTGTCCTCCCACAAACTTTTGAATAAGGCTCAGCACATACTCAGCTTGACAAGATACACAGCCTTGCTTTCTGTTATTATAGATAACTGCACCCTCTTGGAGCCAAGGGAGGGGATGCATGCTGAGATCTTATTCTGATTAAGCAGACAGAAGTGTATATGAGTCACTTCTAGAGAGTACAGCTCTGAGGAACTAATGTTGTGCTCGTGTTGACAACCTTAGAGAATGACATTTATCTGTACCACAACCTAGGGATGGCTAAAAAATATTTGAGCATATTCTCCATGTCTCACCCTTCTTCCGGAAGGATCACTTCAAACGTGGAAGGGTGTTTAGCCCCGATGTCATTTCAGTACATGATCATTTTTAGCGTTCCAGTAGAAGTGTTGCTTGTGATCCCAGTCGCATGTCAGCCAGGCCAAGGAGCAGCCTTTACATGGTCAATGCTGTTCAGGCAGGACAGTGTTTGAGATGTTCTCCTGCTTGCCTCCACCCAGCAAGCTCTGTGTCAGCATACCAAGTTCCCAAAGTCATCTGGGTTTCCCAGCATTTCAAAGCTGGCAGAGGTAGCTAGCTACATAAGAGGCCTAATTTTCAGACTAACTTCCTCATTCACAGAGGCTTTCTTAGAATACCCACTACCTTTAAAAGTCAGAGGATTTAAGCTTGTATCAAAATTCAGAATTATTTGTCAAACTCTGGAGCCTGATTTTGTCATTTTGAACTGGACTCTTGAACCATCAATACTTACTGCATTACCACATCAGGAAAAAAAAAAAAAAAAGGGAGACTTTGAGCATTTTCAGTGATAACATGTAGAATACAAATAGCTTGTGGGCCAAAGAGTAATTGCTGCTGTATGAAGAGAGAGAATTTTTTTTAATGTACATATAAAATAATTTCCTGTTTCAGTTACGTGTCAGTGAAAACTGAATATCACTTCTGAAGCCTTTTGCAATAAAGCTTAATAAATCTTGAGAACTATTAATGTTTAACAATGAGAAATGTTATGAAATTTATGTTTAACATGAGAAAAGATTTGATGGCAAACAAAGTGACATTAGTATGCCCCTTATATTTTTTTCCTTTGCAAGAAAACCACTGGGAGTTGCTGCTAGTTGAAGAAAGTAAATAACTGAGTAGGTTCTTCCAAGAGCTCCCTTTTATTTTTCTGTAGAGTATATATGAGGAAGTAAATGTACGTACACACTATATGAATAAGTCTTTATAGTACAAGCCTTTTGATTTTCATAGAGACTGCAAAGCTTAAGGGACAGTCATTTCATAAACTAAGCACATGAGCAGAGAAGAACACTTTTGATCAGTTTTTTAAATGTGGGAATGCTCTTTTATTTAATATCCAGCTCAGTCAAATGTATCCTATTATTCTGATATGTTTAAACTTCTCAGTAGACAGTTATGGTTTATTCTGTTCTTTTTCCCCACAGATTATTTGGAAACACATATGGTGGCTCCAAGTGGCTACCAGCCCTGCTTGCTTAGGGTTCGGTTCAGCTCATGTTTACATCCTGATTGAAGAAGCACTCCCATATATCTTCCAGGCTATCCTCTGCTGTCAGAGCACCACCTAAAGATGTCCATAAACATTTGTATAGAGCCCTTAACGTTACAAAAGATCCATTCAGTGAATCCACTTACAATAGTAAGCACTAACCATAGTAGTAGGCACTTTGCAGGATCATGCCCTTGTGGCTTAATATAGTTAAGGAAGGATTGTAATTAATGTGAAGAAAGGTGTCTGAATTACTTCAACTAATGGTAGGGTGGGGTTTCTTTTTCTTTTTTCAGCTGAACTCTTCATGGAACAGCAGCATCTCAAGGAAGCAGGCTATTGTATCCAGGAGGCAGCTAGTCTTTTCCCCACTTCTCATGCTGTACTGTACATGCGTGGGAGGCTTGCAGAGATGAAAGGCAATTTGGAGGAGGCTAAGCAGTTGTATGACGAGGCACTCACAGTGAATCCAGCTGGAGTGGAAATTATGCACAGCCTGGTGAGTTTGCAGGGGCTCAGCTCCATTATAGTATTTATGTTTCCGATTAACTGTAATAAGAGGGGAGGGGGCTCATGCTTGCTTTGGATGCCATTGTCTTCCTAATCCTGAGAGCAAGTGACTTTGTTCCAAGAATAAATTGGGTAGCTTGAACCTCTATTTTAAGGCTGGATTGGATGTTTTTAACTAATTTAGGACTTGTGTCAAAAGTAAATATTTTAATTGATGAATGCTGATAGTTTTTGGAAGTCAATTCACTGCTTTATTGTTGTCTTTGCTGCTTTTCCTGCTAACTGTTATGCATTTTAAGTAAGCAGTACGCTGGTGTTTGAAAGAAGATTTGAACTAAGTAGCTATAGAATACAGATATATAAAAGGTTTCTAAATCTTGGACTGGACTGTTGTGTCCACCCAAAGCAAGACAGGCTGTTGGTTTACGGTAAAATTAATCTCTTACTGTCTTAAGCTAGGAGTCTGCTCTAACCTTGTGTAAGGGCGGTGGCTCCACATTTGTTTTTTGGTAGCACTCTTATCTAGCAAATACGTCTTCTCTTGCATCATCCCCCAAATAAACTTATTTACAAACATAGGGCCTATATCTTTCAAACTGTATTGTACAGGGAGCTTTGTGGAAGGCCCAAACCTAATTCTGCTATGAAATCAGAACATTTCATCATATTACATCAGTTTTGGGTCTTGTTAATTCTAGCCTTTAGGCCTCTTGGATTTTAGAAGTCTCATAGACTTTCTTGACCAATTTAATTTCTACAAGAATTCTATATCCGTATGACCACTTTGTGTCTTTGCTAGCAGATCTGTATTGCCTGGCATAAATTTAGCCTGGATAAGATTGGCAGGCAACTCTAAACCTGAAGGGGTGTGAGTGTGCAAGAGGACAAACATAAAGTGAAGTCATAATTGAGAGAAAACAGTAGAACCTACAGGCAAGGAATGAGAGAAAGAAATTCAGTAATAATGAACAGTCAGTGTTAACACTGCAAGTGCAAAACCAGCAAATGAATAGCGGTGTATAGGTTGGGAGGAGGTTACAAAACAGCTCTGCACATGCCAGGCCCGTATGCTTAATGGGATGATAGTATTACTTTGTTGCTGTGATACAACCTGTACAGAATCAGTCTCCAGAAATCTGGAAAGATAAAATGATATGGTTTGTTCAGTTAGCGTCATGACTGCAGACAAGTCACCGCTGTCGGAGTAGCCATCAAGTTAGATGCCGAGATAATACTACCAATTTTAGTTTTTGTCTTACTCTATGGGCAAAACGACATATTGTGCCTTCCCCTTTCGGTTGCTCGTAATTGTCCCAAACTATAGGCATTTGGAATAAAATTTTATGAGATGCACATCTATTCTGGCCCAGTTTATTTCAGAAAATGTCACCCAGCATGACTTAAACTGTTTCTGAAAGTGAGACTAAGAAGCATGTTGTTTGGCCCAAGTGAAAAAGTCTCGGTGGCATCTTCCTTAGTATGCCCTAGTGTCACCAGATTCTATCAGGAAGGGGTAGTCTTTGTGACATTAATGTGCTTTTTACTGTCCCTAAAAAATCCTTCCAAGGTTGTCCAAGTTACAACCTTTAAAAAAAACATGCATTTTATACGTGCCTAGCAGCGATGTATTTCTAAAACCTCCAAAGACTCTGAACGTTCATTCCCCTCAAACCCCGGTAAGCTCCATCATCTCTGAGTGAAGAGCTGGGAATAAGACCCAGGCAGAGGTGAGGAAGACAGGCAGATGGGGAGTTGTGAGGACAGAGACTGATTCCATGAGCAAGTAGGGAAAAGGAAAGACAAAGCTGATAACAAACTGAGAAAAAATAAGGGTTGAGTGGATAGATGAAAAGAATGAGACTGCCTTAAGGAGCAGAGCTTGGGTTGGGAGGTGGATGTTGACGAGAGGATGTTGGAAAGAATGAATTAGAAAGGGTCAGTTTTACATGAGATGTGAAAAAGAGCATGTACCTGTGAGAGTATTCTACTCTGTAGCCTTCAATCTCCTTAAAACCCTGAGTCTTCCCATCCCCCTGCTGTCAGCAAATATCAGTGCAAATCACTTGCTTAGGTGTGTGCCTCAGCTTCGTCAGCTTGGCTGTGCTGGCAGCCTGTAGTTCCCACTTGTTAGCCAGGATAACGAAGGTCTCTTCTATCCCTACTCATATGATTCATGCTGGTACTTATAGGATGCCACGTGATGGCATTCCTTTTTATGCTTTTCCAAAAGCGAGGAAATTGCACATAGCAAGTTAGAAGCATCTGATGAGCACTACAGAAAAGTCTGTAAAGAAATTAATCATTCTGTCTTCAGAACAGAGCTTGAATAATGTGCAGTAAACAAGGCTTTTAGGGCTATGCATCAAATAAAAAGGGCAAAAATAAAGTACTGAATGGCTGCTGGCTAAGTGAATCTGTCCTGTGTACTGAATGAGATACGGTCCCCCCGGAGAACTTAGACTGGGCTTATGCAATTGAAGATACAGCATTAACAAGTAGCGTATTTTGCATCTCCTCGAGGCTATCAAAGGAAGACTGGGTGTCTTTCTGGAAAATATGTAGTAGCCAAGTACAAGCCATACTGTTATAAAAAAAAGCAAGTTCTTGAACACAGTTTGTTCAGTCACCTACCTGAGGGAAATGGTTTATAAAACGGATTGTGCAAGAAGCCAAACTAGATTATCTGCTGCTTCCAAGGGACTTGAAGCTACGTAAGACACACACACAGAGGCAGCTGAAATTAAGTTCACACATGCTGTTTCAGTGCTGGTCTCCCCAAACATCCGAGCACTTAGTTTTCCCACTGTGATAATGGGAAAGACTTTTCCACTTCTGTGGAAGTGTAATCATTTAGGGAAAGAGGGTCTGGTTAGGAGAATTACTGTTTAACGTAGTGCAATTGCCATCCAACTGACCTAGTCCACTTAAAAGGAAAACTGCTGTAGACAGTGCTGATTCTCCCTGATGGATTCTCTTCTGATGGTGTATCAGCACCAATTAGCAAAGTAGTCGTGTCTCTCCCCCCTAGGCTCTCAGAACTAGGTTGTCGAGGCTATATTTGGAAAATTCCAACTTGAAGAGCATTGCTGGCTTCAAATGAAGGGCACAAATCTAGCAATGAATGAGTTCATCAGGTATCAATAACTTCACTTTTAGACAGGGTAGAGCCACCATCATAATAAAAACAAGCATTTTCTCTGCATAACTGAAAAACGGCTGTGTTTTACTGTGATTGTGGGTGTTCGGAATAGCTGGCAAATTTGTGTGCTTTCCATATAAAGCACACCGCGGTGCAGAAATACAGCACCATACAGCAGATCTGCAACGCTGAGTAGCTCCGATGAGATGGGTAGCATACTGTGCTTCATAGCTGGGGCTGTTGGCAGTGGGTTTCTGGTACTGTGGTAGGCAAACCACAGGCACGTAGAAAATACCAAACAGTAGTGGTATTGGTTTGTGCTGGCACTTATATTTTGTAAGCGATGCGACAGAATGCTTAAGCCTTTTTTAAAAATCTACACATGATCTTTATGAAGTAAATATTAATGGCTTTAAAACTAATCTAGGAAAGCACATTTGTAGAGAAGGGGAGTTCTGTTTTCTTTTGGAAAAACACCTAGAATCAGATTTCGGGGCTACTGGAGAGCATACTTAATACCAAAGTATTCCTGGTGAAGTGTGTGGAGCTACTGCTTTGGCTGAATAGCTGTTTGCTCTCAGAAATGACCAGCTTGGCTTGACTCTTAGAAACTATGCATGCTGTTAGACCCACAGCTCCCTTTTGGAAACATGACTCTTGCTAGGGCTTTTTTAACATTTCTCCTCATTCTGTCTCGTGCATTTCTGCCTTCCCTCTCTCTGTTAGAACAACTGAGTTCTTCTAGTCAAAATAAGACTCCTCCTGGGATCTACTTGCAAAGATCATAGAGCACTTTCCCCTTTTTTTTGAGAGGGCTGATGGAGCCTCCGCTGAGTAGGAATCTTTACTGGTCCGGAAACAAGAGCTTAACCCATATCCTCCCATTTCGTCTTGTGACTGGACAGCCATTTCAGATGCTAGTCTGTGTTTGCCAGCAAATTTCTAAACCTAATAACTAAGGCTTACTTCCTTCAGCATGTACCCAATTTGGTTACGTAACTTTATGATATATGGCACTTTGGGACTGGGATAACAAAACTGACGTGCCCAACCAAGTCAGAAAATATGACATAAGCCAGGGCAGATGATCTCTCCTTGTACAGTGATGCACAAATCCACCCACCTGTACGTTGCTGGAGAAAGACGCTGAAATTTGTAGGTTCCCTACCACAGTGTATTCAGCACTCTTCTCCCTTTTGATTCAGAGGAGGAGAAAATTCATGCCAGCATGTTGGATGTAGATCCTACAGCTCCATATTGCTATATTGCAGGCTAAATAATATCGCAGGCTAAACTAAAAGCATATTGAGGTATTCATAAGACTCCTGCCCAACGTGCATCTCACATAGCGCTGTTTTGGACTAGATCAATTCTCAACATGTTTTAATTCAGGAAAGTAGAAAGAGAATCAGACATTTCAAAGCAAGTGGGTATACTCGTCTCAGACATTGTGCCAGATTTAATGAAAACAACAAAAAATACCCAATAAACAAAGAAAAAGTAAAACATTTGCTTGACTCACACTTGAGTTTTGTTGATTGCAATGAAAGATTGTAGTGATTCTCCGCTTCTTCTGAAGCCTGCGGCAAGGATGAAAAGGTTGCTACCAGAGTTTCATGTAGCCCTCTTCACTTGCAGTGAAGCAAAGTGAAATATATATTGGGTTTTGTTTGGTGAATTGTAAAGGTTAAAATGAAAGCAGCCTTTGTAGCGTGTTCTGTTGTGACCACATAAACAGGTGGAAAACAAAATTAGTGAAAATCCGTTAGATCTGTTCCACAGTCAAGTCAAATAGAATGTGACTTTACGTGTAACACCAGTTAGGCTTATCATGAGAGTTCTGCTTTGTCCTGGAGGAACTGCTACCTGCACCGTAAAATATAGATTGGCACCCCCACAAAAGTGCATGAGAATCATAAAGTGCTCTCCAGCTAAAGTTGGGAAAGCAAACATCCCACTCACCTCAGTATAAGTCAGCCAAGCTGGGCCGACAAATTTACAGTAGGCTGTCCTGCGATCCTTATTTTCTGAGATTAGCATAGATTTTGGTCTTTCCTTAGGAAGGCCTGGTTATTTGCTGTGGAAGATCCCATGTTATATGGAGTTGGGGTGGTATCAGTCACATACCGGAATCACAGAATAGTTGAGGTCGGAAGGGACCTCAGGAGATCGTCGAGTCCAACCCCCCCGCTCAAGCACAGTCATCTAGAACATGCTGCACAGGATTGCATCCAGGCAGTTTTTGAATATCTCCAGGGAAGGAGACTCCACAGCCTCTCTGGGCAACCTGCTCCAGTGCTCAGTCACCCTCAGAGTCAAGAAGTTTTTCCTCATGTTCAGACAGGAACTTCCTGTGTTTCAGTTTGTGCCCATTGCCTCTTGTCCTGTTGCTGGGCACCACGGAGAAGAGTCTGTCTATGTCTTCTTCACACCCTCCCTTCAGATATTTGTGCACGTTGACAAGATCCTCCTGAGCCTTCTCTTCTCCAGTCTGAACAGTCGCAGGTCTCTCAGCCTTTCCTTGTCAGGCGCTCCAATCCCTTCATCATCTTTGTGGTCCTTCACTGGATTCTCTCCAGTAGTGCCGTGTCTCTCTCGTACTGGGGAGCCCAGAACTAGACACAGCACTCCCAGATGTGACCTCACCAGCGCAGAACAGAGGGGAAGGATCACTGCCCTGGACCTGCTGTTCCTAATGCAGCCGAGGATACCATTGGCCTCCTTTGCTGGCTCACGGTCAACTAGCCGAATCCCTAGGTCTTTCTCTGCAGAGCTGCTTTCTGGCCAGTCAGCCCTTCAGTGTGAATCTGAAGCTAATACCAGGAATTTGTTGTGCAAGCAGATACTAACCGTAATGTTGACATGGCTGTACTGGATCACATCAAAGATCCATCCAGCCCATCTCTCCAGCCATAAGCTGATGCCTAGGCAAAAAGAGAACAGGGTAAGCATATATAATACTTCCCCAAGTTTTGTCTTAGCTCAGGGACTTCCTGAAATGATGCAGTTTTGACTTACACCATTTTGACATGCACAGTGGATTTCCGCTTCATGAACTTGTCCTGTCTTCTCTTGAGCCCATGTTCACTTTCACCAATAATGGTATCCTTTGGAAAGGAGACTCGCAGGTCTACTCCGTGCTGCGCAAAGAACAGCTAGTTTTTATATGTTCTTGATGCAGCCGTTCCTAGCCACACTGGCGCATTTGGTGCGCCTCGTTCTTCCTTTGGAAGAGATAGTACACCATTGATTTTTATTCACCCTCTCCTTTCCATTACTGATTTTACCTTATTTTATTTTTACTGTGATACTCGCTTTTCCCCCAACCTGTCACTTTTCCCAGCAGAAAAGTTCGACTTGGCTGTTCCTTGAATAGAGCCTGTCCCATTCCTCTCATAATTGCTGTTGCCTTTCTCTGACTTTTTTTTTACAGTTCTGCCATATCCTTTTTAAGATGAGAAAGCTAGAACTAATGTCGCAGCTCTTGCAAAGAATTAGCTTAGCTTCAAGGACAGCATTGTGGACTCAGTGCTAAATCACTCATTGTCCCTTGGCCTTCTACTCGTATAAATTATTGCCTGTACATGTTTTCCTACAAATACAACAATCGATTTCAAATGTTTTATATTAACCTGATCTCATTACCACAGCTCTGGACCTATAGGGGCTGAATCTATTCTGAATGGTCAGCAGCTCTGATGAATAGATGAATGTGATTTATAAGAGCAGGCAGTGTAACAGTGTTATCTTGAGTCCTTACAGAGGTCCCAGGCTGTGAATACAACATAACCAGCAGGCATGCGGTTCTAGGCTTTGATATATATTCCTGACTTCATTCAGCTTGTCAGAGACATCTTTTTAGCTTCTGGAACCCCAGCTTCTCTCTGCTGGTAGTGCTAGAAGCTGAAGAGCTTGACTCGGAACAAATTTTTGTGCGGATTATGATCCTTTTGCCTAAGATAAGTATATTGCTTTTGATTAGATTTGAGGGTTTCAGAACTATAAGTTGCTTTGTTTCAATCTTACGCTCTTCTTAATTGCTCAGCTGGATGCGAGGGCTGAGGGGAAAAAAAAACCTTTACAAAGAGAGTTGAACCGTTTCATTTGGCCTTCATTGTGTACTTAGGATGCAGTTTCATGTTCATTTTAGTAGAAGAGTCGACCTATTGTCTCCAGACTCACTTTTGGTAGCATCAGGATAATTTGAAGACTACAGTTTGCACTGATTAGAACATGGAAATGAATTATTTCTGTTCATTTATTTCATTTTAGCTCACAGCATGGATCCTTGTTTTCAAAGGCGTCCATTCACATAATGAAAACATGGCTTGATTACTTAATATTTTTAAGGATGACACGTGTTACTTCCTTGGGGATTTGTTTCATCATGCTGGTATGAAGTAATGATGTAAATCATGGGACAGATTCTCAGCGAGGGCATATTATCGTAGCTCCGTGATACCAAGGTCTGTATGTCTTATAAGGTAGCGAGGACACTAATTAGAAGCATTTTTACCTTGGAACCTGAAGTTAGAAAGCTTTTTGTTCCTAAATGTGGGAACAAAAGAGCGTAGTTTTCACATTAATACAATTATTTATCATCTAAAGAATTGTTTTGTGCCCGTAGTTTATCCACTTTGCTTGCTCTTTTGTTAATAAGCATGCCATGGTCTCTTTCCATTTTCTAGTGACATGTCTTGCTCAGTATGTTATATTTGTGTAGAGAGTTGAACATCACAATTAAAATGCATCTCTCTATAGTTAGGGCAACTGTGCATTTGTCCTAATTGTGATTTGGTGGATCATTGTATCTGAAGACACAAAGAGCTACCAGGTTTTGTGTGTTCTGGATATAGCTCTTCCTAGTTGCATTTGATGCCCCCAGGCTCTCGTTTTGGCAAAGACAATAAGCCAATTAGACAATTAGAGAACTGGTAATTTTAATTAAGTAGGCTACTGTACTACTTTTGTGATAAATTCTGAGAATATTTTTTATTATCACAGCTTCCGTGTAAACAAAGGCTCAAAGAGAATCTTAAATTGCTGCCATAAGAACTTGCATTTCAGTGGACAATGAATGGAAATGGATTTCTGATTGTTCTTTGTTATACCAAAAATTGAAGCTTTATCAGTAAAATTATTTTTAAAAAAATTGGGGGGGAGTACGTGGATGAATTTCACTTTCCTGAACAGTACTGCAATTTAAAATTTATTAAGTACTTTTCGACATTACTGTTATTTTAAATGTCTTGGCATGGTATAAAATGTGTTATTTATATATTTATTTTCCAGAATTTCTGCGTGTAAAACCTGTTTCAAGAGAGAGTTTTCTTTTCAGATTTTGATATACGTATTGCCAACAGTTTTTAATTACCTTGTCTCCATGTGATCCCTTACTGGTTGGTGTACCTTCTGAATTATAATATAGTAAAATGCAGGTAAACAGAAAAATAAAAATTAACTTCACAAATTAAAGTACTTAAGATATTCTATATGCCGTGTCCTCCAAACCTGAGAAGTCATGAGTTTGATGTATTATTCTGATTGCTTGTGGGGGGTCCTCGCAAAGAGGCTCTCTCTTGGCGTTTCCAAAAGAGTGTTACGGAGCACTCAAAGCAAATGTCCCGAGAGTCAAAGCTCCTGGTTTCGCTTCCCAAGCTGAACAGTATTTTATGTTTTTTATCAAAACACTTAGGGTTAGGTCTTTGCTACTGTTATGCAACAGGGTGGGTCCTTCCTCTTCCAGAGAGCAATGAACTGCAGCTCAGTCATTTTCCATTGAAGGCAATTCACTGAACGGGGCTGGAGAGGAGGTGGAGCCCTGGCTCTCCCTCTGCTCTGCACGGCCAGCTCTGCTGCAGATTCAGCTGTGATTATATGTCACAATTTAGCCTGAATCTGTGTAAAACAGGGATGAAACTACTGATCTGCTTCATCTGGGGGTGGTGGAACTTACTTAATATCTGTACGTGCTTTCAGATGGCAGGCACTCTGTAAGTGCAATACCTTATTTATTCTCATTATGTATCCTGAATCCTATGGTGCTTCATTCATTTGGGCTTTTGGACCACAAATTATTGTGGGCAAAGTACTGCGACTGCTCAGCACAAATGACGTGCTTTACAGCTCTGAATACCCTTATATCCCTAAATGTAAGTAGTGATGAAAACATTATTGCAGTGCGAGTGGGATTTAGCGAGCAGATCAGTGAACTGCTACCTCTCTCAAGGATTTGTTTTCATTAGAGGAATCTGCCTTGCCTGTATGTTGTGACTTGCCCTCCATTGTATTGATAAATTGTTTCTGTGGTGCTGTGAAGGGCAGAGTAAAACGGGAGCAACTGTAATTCTGAAGAGTTTCTAGCACAGCCCTCTTCTCTTCCTGGGGATAAGACATGACAACGCCTGCAAAAAATAGCGTTTGGGGGGGTACTTCCTTTCTGCTCTGACAGTGAATGTATCCTTCTGTTCTGCCAATTCAGTGCAAGCAGAAGATCTTTGTACCAGTACAGTTTTGCAGTTTCCCCTGGTGAGAACAGTTTTGGATTTATAAGGGAGAGATGACAGAGCTAAAGGTAGAAAAAGCATTAGGGAAGGCACTTAGTCACTCATTACAAGCCTTTCCAAAAATGGAGCAACCTTGAACAAAGTGCCTTTTTTTTTTTTTTTTTTTTAATTAAGTAAGTAATAGTGACAGAGTCAACAGGAGATTCTAGCAACCCAAAGGAAGACCAGTGACGTCTTCTGTGATGCAGCTTGGAGAGCTACAGACTCTGTCTGATTCCCTTTTAGGTCTACCTAATAAGGAGTGTACAAGAACACACTAGAAGGGTGAATTAAGAAACTGTTCGCTAAGTCCTAGTCTCCAGTGGCGTATTTTTGGACTACTTTCCTAGTACAAAGCATTTAAGCAGTTTAGCCCACCCCGTGGCTATTTCCTGGATGTGGAAAAATCCCTATATGCTGTTATCAAGTTTTCCTATAATATTTTTCTGTTCAACGCGTTTAATTTCTCCAGTGTGTTTGGAGAGCAGACAAATAGTGATATATATATGTGTTTAAGAAGGGAAGGGATGGAAAAGAGTTGGAAGGGGGGGAGGGGTTATATAAGAAAAAACAAAAAAGCAAAGACTGCTGCTTATGTAAGTATTGAGGTAAAACATTGACTGCTTAGAGAGACTGCTTATGCCTTTTATTTTCCATTGTATGCTGTCCGCGCAACCCTTCAACAGCTTGTTTCTTCCTTTTCCATCCTTTACCTCGTAGTTTTCTGCAGGAGAGGAGCCCAGCCCCGATTTACTTCAGCAGGCTCCTTCAGTGCTACTTATTTACTCTTTTATCCAAGAAAGGTAAAATTCACTACAAAGAAACTGTGAAAGCACACTTAGGTCAGAAACTTGTTCTAGTGGTGTTGAAAAAGTGCCTGAAAACAACAGCACAAACAAACTAGGGCCAAGGTTCGGGAGGAACTCCTCCGCGCTTTGGAAAATTAGACTTGTGAGCAGGGACTTAACATAGGTTTCCTATTTGTTCTTTGAGGCATCTAAACCAGTGTAATTTTTTTAGGCGTTGAAAAGACTCTAACTTGCTCCTTGTTGCCATTTTCCTTCCCCATGCTGTTATAAAGCTCCAGTCTATCAGTGAGCTGCCCTTTGACATTGCTAATGTGACTTCTGCCAAAATGCTCAAGAGTGAGATACTCCAGCTGGAAAAAGAGCAGGAAAAAACCCTATGATGGTCAGGGACAGGAGACAGTAGAAGAGCTTGACTTGTCAGCGTAGCAAAACAGAAACTGTGAAGGGATACATTTGCTCTCTCCAGGTACCCGTGGAAATAAATAGTAAATGCTGTGGAGACCAAGAGAAGCTGTGTGAACTAAAGGGTGATGCTTTTATTTATCTGCTGTACGTTGGTTCTGGAGCTTGAAGAAGGTTCCTGGCCATCCATACGGAGCAGTTCTGGGGCAGCCTCCCAGCAAGAGGCGTGGGAAGGGCGGTCTGTCTCCTCCTGTGCTGGAGCCTGAAGCATTTATGAGAGGGTTCTTGGGAGGGAGGGAACAGGCCAGAAGGTCCCCGTGAGCAGGGCTTAACCAAACCCAAAATAGCACTTGCCCACTCTGGCATGCAGGCTGGACTACCCGG